TGCCAGCCAGCCAGCCAGCCAACCAACCAACCTCAACATTTTTTTCGATGGTTTCAAGGTTTTTGGCAAGTGATCGTACATAACGAACAACTTCAAATCTACATCAACCATACCCACTGTTTCCGGAGCCAGTGATCTTCCAACTTTCAAACTGAATCAGTGAGATAGTGTGGTGAGAAAGAGAAAAAAAGGAGAGAGAAAGAAAGAAAAATTTTCTAACTAAATAAGTGAGAAACTGTGATGATGATGAGAGAGAGAGGGAGAGAGGAGAGAGAGATTAAGAGAGAGAGGGAGAGTGGAAAAAAAGAGAAAGCAAGAGCAAGAAAAACAGAAAGAAATTACATTATCAAAGAAAACAACAAAACAAACAAACAAACAAACATACATGGATACAAACTTACATACATACAAAGATACTTATGTACATATACACAGCAATACCTAGTATTGGGGAGGATATTTGGCTCCTTTTCAAACATAATTTCACCAGAATCTTGCCATTTTGTAAGATTCAACTTAATTGTAGGCATTCCGACATCAGCTCGTATTCGGACACAGTCAATCTCGGCCACCAGCAGATTTGGAATTTCCCGATGAGCGTAGATTCTTTTATGGATCATGAAGTTTCTGTACTCGTGAGTTTTTGTGTAGATGCCTAAAATTAGGAATAAAAATGATGTGCTTATGTGTGAATGTGTGTGATTATTCATTTGCTTGTGCGCATGTGTGTATATCAAATTTAACACTAACCCTTAGAAACATCCAGCTTATGACTGACAATCCCCGAACTTCTTTTGACTCCTCCTTCTACGGAGAGATCAAACAAAACAGTCGAAGGCACCGGGGCGCGATGACTTTCATTAAACTTTCCAACGTGAAAACCACTAATGTGAACATATTCTGAATCAACGACGGTACCAATGAAACTTGTGATTATAGTAGTGAACACATATACAAACACACAAACAAACATACAAACGAGCATACATACAAACAAATACACACATACATTCTATAATAATTCGCCCCAGCAAATACAATAAAAATAAAAACATTACAATACAATAGTGATGATGTCATTGATTATTTTAATAATTCATACCATTGCAACTTCCATGTATACAAAATTGCGAAACTGCACTGTGCACATGTATTTGTATATATGTTTGTATCAAATATGTATATATACAAACTTGTGTATAATTTTGTATTAGTATGAATGGCATGTCTGTATGTACAAGTGTGTGATGACGTCATCTTCTTCATCATCATTCATCACAAACACCAACATCATCACCAACATAAAAATTTTATTGCTATGTCGTAAATTAATCAGCAGCATACACACACACACACACACACAAACACACACATACATCACTCTCAAACACACACATTACACACATACGCACGCACACACATACGAACGCAGTATGACATGCAAAGAAAGACTGTTACGAGCAAACAAACATACATTAAATCTTATGCAAACACATACCAACCACAAATATAGCATATATATATATATATATATTATATATATATATATTATATATATAGGCAAAGGGAGAGAGAGGGAGAGAAAAGAAAGAGAGATAGAGAACAAAGAGAAAGACAGATAGA